CCCGATTATTGTTTGATGGACATGGCTTGATTAGGTCACCCGAGATGCACAGCTTTTTCCCACACGGTGTATGGCGGTGAACAACCGAAAAACATGTACAATTGGCTCATACACCCCAAGCCTATCAAACACTTCCTCATGCCTAGCACAGACCTCCCCAAACTGGTCTACAAAGTAGAGGTAGAGGTGCCCCATTACCTATTCCCACATGCCCTTCCACCACATCTCCAAGAACCGCAACAAGAGTCACTCCAATACAAACCCAAGGACGCACCTTATGTCGAACCCCATGATCATGAAGACATGGACATCCCCGAGCAGCACCAAAACCCTCCTCCACCCAACTATTTCCAACAAATCTTGGAGGGTCAACAACAAATAATTGCCGGGTACAACCAAATGAACGCCAACTATATCAACATGGGAGAACGGCTCAACCAAGTGCAGGAGGAGGAAAGGGCAGGTTTTCAACGGATGGAGGAGCTCCGGGAAGCCGACAGGCATCGATATGAAGAGGATCAACATAGGTTCTACGGACCTATGTACTCTTACATAGCCCAGCAAGGATCCTTTCAGACTATGGCGAACCCCCCTCCACCACCCTCGTGGTATGACCACGCTCATTGGGGTAACTTTGGAGGATTTAGCTCCGGGGGTGGAGGGTACGATGGGAGAGATGGCGGACACATACATGGGAGATGGCGGGCAGGGGAGCGGCTTCGAAGACAGCTTCTATGGCGGAGAAGGCAGACACTAGGGACAGTGCTTGGACTAAGTGTGGGGGAGAGACTCCTCATGGTATGTAATTTTATTTCTTACCTTTCACTACGCATGAACTTCTTTTACCCTTGATACACAAAAAAAGAATAAATAAAAGAAAAGAAATGCTAGTTAGGTTGAAAACCCCACAAAAATGGGCAATCTAAGCAAAAAGGGCTTATAAACAATGAGTGAGTTGGGGGAGAATGGAAAATAAAAAGAGATGCTAGGATGAAAACCTGAAAAGGCTCCTAGGCAAAATGAGAGATATGAGAGAAATATTTATTTTTGCACGCACTCATTTGATCTCCTTGGAGAATAAGAAGATTCAAAAAAGAAGAAGAAGAGAGGAGAAGAAGAGAAGATGAGCACTAGAAGGCCATAAAACCCAAGATGCTATTTTTAATTTGATCTTAAAATCTCATGTTTTATCCTTGGTGGTCTTTGTGTTTTTATCTTGTTAAAATTGTTGAAACTGTGGAAGACTTGACACTTGTGAACATTTGACCTTACTCGAGGATGAGTAAAGAAACTAAGTGTGGGGGAGTTGATAATCATGTAATTTCCCTGTGTATGTTTGTATTTTTAATTAGTTTTGATTGATTTTTACTTTGGAAATTACACACTTTTGGTGTAATAGTTTAGTTTGTTAAATTCTTGTAAATTGTTCAGATTAGGTTCATTTTGAGCTCAAACAGGTCTTGATCACTCAAAAGACAGTTGGTGAACCCCAAAAGTGGAAGAAAGGTGCATAATCAAGAGAGAAAATAAGGATCCTGAATTTTTGGTCTATACCCGGTCGGGTATCATCTATACTCGATCGGGTATCTTGTTGAAACTTCAAATCGGATCAGATCCGAAGACAAAGGAACATGCAGGGAAGATTTTGACCACGATCGAGTGTCTATACCCGATCGGGTAGACCGACATACCCGATCGGGTATGCCTTTGAGTTTAACCCCAAATCCGGTTGAGTATAGCTTGAATATCATTTTCTACACATACTCGATCGGGTATAAAAGCACACCCGATCGGGTATACCTATAGAACATAGCCCATAATCGATCGAGTATACCTCGAATCTGGCATTTCACACATACCCGATCGGGTACCGTGTATATACCCGATCGGGTACCCGAGCTGCATCCCAAGAGCCTATAAATACACCCCCTTTCCTTGACAACGAGATATCCAATTCCTATATACTTCTAAGCTCAGTCTAGAGTAGTTCTTTCTTTATATTTTCTTCATGTTTAGTCTCCAAATGAGGAGCTAAACTCTTCCATCTTGGTTTTGCTACTTTGAAGCTTAATGAATTTGTAAGTTGTGAGTTATTTTCTTTAATCATCTTCTTTGAATATTAATTATTTCCTATTCATATTCCATATTAATATTTTGAGAATTACTTAAAGGATCAACTAGTTTTGTTTTGTATATTAATTATTACTAGAATCAATCGATTAATACGCTTGTTATTAATTCGGTTCTTTCAACGGTAGTAAAACTTGGATTATTAATGTATGCGTCTCATGGTTAATAATCTAAGGGGATTAATTATATTGATTAAACCAATAAACCGCTTGTGTTGAGGTTATCAATCTCAATCGTTTTCATCTTAAGTTTATTGCTACTATCGGGATAATATACGGCGCGTGTTCTATATTGACTCGGTAGTAAGTTTTATTAATGATCGCGTCTCGTTGTTAATAACTACCCTCGATGAACTGGATATACTCCTCGATTGAGTATTCGAGAGGAAGATAGTTAAAGATATAACCGGGATCGACGAACATTTCATTAAGTGGATAAAAGCAAAACCAAGTCCTCATCTCTATTAATTAAACTCATATAAGTCGTTCATCTTAGTGTTTAAATACATTTTTAATTCATCACCCAATCAAAACCCCCCTTGTTACTCTTCATATAAAAGAAAAGTATTCCTTTCCATGTGGATACGAACCTTACTTCGTTATGCTACGTATATTCGTTGTATTGTATTTATTTTGAGTGCACCTCACGACAAGTGCACGTCACTAACCGTCTCATTTATTAATTTCTTTGATGTGTTATACTCGCATTTAGATAACAAAATTGCTCAATTTTACATATAGTTTTTTTTTACAAAAAAATATAAACATTGAGATGTTACTCTTAAGGCCCATTCTATTTGTACCGTCCTGGGGTCATAAAATGTCAGGACCGGACATGCATCAATGTTGCATATATAAAAACTAGTTTAGCAACGCGCGATGCGCGTTCGTGTAAATGCCCAAGGATATTGTATGCATATTACTTCATCAGGTTAGGTTGATTGAATGCATGAATAGTTTGATCAAACTATTTGTATACATAATTTGTTAGAAATTGATAAACAAACTATACGAATAAAATGTTTGTAGCTTGGATTGTATGGGGAAATAAAGCAAAAAGACTATAATAACCATAATAATAGGATAAGATTCATATCAAACAGTAACAAAAACAAAAATGTGTTGCTAGGAGAAATAGTCAGATATTTATTGGATTGTAATGTTTGGTGAAAAGTAAGAGTTTGAGGAAAGCAACTTTATTAATAAAAGTAATGGAAAAAGTCAAAATAATCAAGTTGTTTTCTTGCACCATAAATCAACAGGTGAGTCCTCTAATCCAAAGCGTGGGAGCTTCATCTTTGATGAAGGCAAGGTGGAGTTGATGGAACAATGTTAGCAGCAATGATGTAGTGAGATGCATCATGCAATGACGTTATTGTGTAGGAGGAGATTGACTTGGTAATTACTCTTGTATGTTACCTCACTTGTACACTATAATTTCTTTGTCCAAGCGCCTATTTGCATATTGGAGCAACGTCTTTTCCCCCTTCAAATTTTATATAGAGGAGTTAACCTGCAACATAGCAATACATTGAATTTAGTATTGAACAAAAAGAAGATAAATATCAAAACTATTTTAGACAAAAATTCATGTTTTTTATTCTTTGAAGTTAATTAAAGCATCCAAACATTTAAAGTCAATTCGATATTTGATTGCGTCATATGTGTGTATATCAGCTTGATGGACTCGAGTATGAAGCATAGATACATAGAATCGGTCGGGGAATACATAGACTTGACAAAGAGGTTCATGCCCTCTATAGTGGAGCTTTGAGGATTTTGTTTGGTCGACTATTTTGCCAAAAGGTTTCCTGGGATAGAACCAAAGTGAGAAATTCCTAAAGATTCCATATCTTTATCATGGACATTCACATATGTTATACGTAGTATTTCTTATTTTCTTCCGTATATTTTCTTTTCTATTTTGTTGCATTTTTCTTTTTGAAATATCTTTTATTTTTTTGGTACACTATTCCTTTTTTACAACTTTTCCTTTTAAACATGTTACATATTCAATTACTTTCATATTGTCTTTCATACTTTACCACAATCTTATATTCTTTTTGACTGAGGGATGTTTGGAACTGAATCAGTTTTCAGAAGCTGGTCTCCCCCAACTTCTAAAATAACTGATTCTATGAGTAAATTAGAGCATCAGAAGTACTTCTGAACTTTCAACCAAACACTTCAACTTCGCTTCTGCTCCTTGAAGGAGTAGAAACAGTTTTAAGAATCATATCCAAATAAACACCCCCTGAATCTCTTGTACTTTTCATACACTATTTATCTCTCCATAATTTTCCCGCTAATTATTGTGTCAAATCTTATTATACTACGTAGTAAATACATTCGTCTTACTAACATTGAAACATGAAAAAATGACATGATTATTAAAAAAAATGAATTTATGTGGTTGTTATCATATTGATAAAGTAAGAATAATTTTTAATTACCAGTATATAAATTTCATCAAATTTGACATGTAGGATGTTTTTACTTTGACTGTAATTTGTTGGTCTGGTCTGGTATGATCTGGTCTGAACTGTTTTGGTCTGGTCTGGTTTCTTTGTATTCTTATAAATATCCAAATCTGTCTGGTTTGAACTGATCTGGTCTGATCTGATCTGATCTGATCTGAGAGGAATTACGGTCCAAATAAAAACATCAATTCTACTCTATTTTAATGCGAATTTCTTCCGTTTCATTTCGAATAGTTCTAGATCAACATGAGAAAAACTTCCCGTTTGAAAACATCTTAAATATTTATCCGTGTTTTCCGTATGTTGGACCACCATTAATGGTCAATGGTGACAGAAAGAATGAATTTAAAGTCCACTTTGCAAAGGGGTCAATTCAAGATCATTATGTACGCCCACGTTTGGGTCACTTTTCTGCAAACGAAGACTTCTATATATGCTTTCCATGGGCCAAGCAGATAGGCTTATCCGCTTCAATCCAATCGCGAGACCCGGACCGGATAATATAATGAACACGGAATTTAACCTGCTCACTGAAAAGTCAGATCAGCATCTCCTTTCCGATCTCTTCCCGGAAGAAGCTGGCTCGAATATGTAAAGCTCTGTCTTTTTCTTTGATTCATTTCCTTCATTTTACTCCGAAGCGTTTTAATACCTTTGCGTGTTTGGATTTTTGATGATTTGTGCGGAAACACAGTGAAAATCTATATTTGTTCGTTGCATGACGAGCGCTTCGGAGCTATTCTACAACAGGAGGACTCGTCTGGGTCGGGGCAGCTCGGAATTCGATTCTGCCTTCGACCGGACATGTCTTCATAACGATGTCGGTAGTCACCGTCACAACGGCCGCCAGCGTAGCAGCAACGGGACTCGCCGAGCAGGTAGACTTGATTTGATCGACCATGATCCTCTTCCCCGGTGTAGAATTCCACTCCGTCGTTCCTCTGTTCAGGTAAGGCTTTTGATTTTAGACTTTTCTTCTTTTTGTAGTTGCTATACCAAAAGCCCTGCTTTTAGTTTTATAGTTACGATAGTAAGCATAGAAGATTTAATAAGGAATAATTATCAGGTGACTATTTTTGTGCGAAAAAAAAAAAACATCCTAAGACTGTAAGAGTAGTATGTGAGCAAATATATAAATATCAAAAACTCGCCTAGCTGCTGCTCTCTAACTCCTGGTGCCCTATGAGAGCCTGGTGTTATTGCAAAACCGAAAAGACGATCTTTTGAGGATGTTATTGTAATACAATATTTTATCAACTTATCAAGTACTCCCTCCGGTTCTCAAACAACTTCCCACTTTCCTTTTCGGGAAGTCCCGAAATTAACTTCACACTTCTTCTTATTTCCTTATTTGTCATATTTCCTTATTTGGCAAATTATTTACCCCAAAACAGTGCAAGACAGTGTCAAACAGTGTCCACACAGTTCTAACAGTGCACTCCATAGTAAAGTTAGATTTATTTTCTTAATCTGTGTGAAGTCAAACTGTGAAGCTCTTTGAGAACCGGAGGGAGTAGTATATAAGAAAATATATGGAGCACGTTAGCACAATCATGTACTCCGTCTCTTTGTATTTTCGAGGTCATCATCTAGGTTACTAGGAAAAATTAGAATTTATAAAGATCAACCCTTGACCTCTTTGAAAAGAGTTCAAATCTTTTGTACCACATTTCCTACATCACTTGTGTACTCTTTATTTTGAATGGTTAATTTCTATGTATTATTTAATTAATACAATATAAAGTTGACATTATTTCTACCAATCAAAATGAGTGGTACACAACATCTAGTACAGAGGATATCAATGGTACAGAGGATATCAACTACCATGGAGAATGATCCACTCAGCTGGTGATTATTTGTTTCCTGTGGCCATGCCACTTTAGTTTGGGTTTTAATTTGGGATGTAATACTGAGCAGCAAAACTGAAACTCCTAGATGAACAAAGGGATTCCTTAAAGGACAACTTGGCAGTATCTTTCTTTGATTACATTTAGGTGCTCTGCATATTAGTCATCCTAAGTATTTATTGTTTCACACTAGTAACAAAATCTATATTGTACTCCCTCAACATCACTTTATCTGACCCATTTTCTTTTTGAGTGAGTTTCTTTCCAAAATGGGAAATGAGACAATTAATTTGATACGTCCCGGAGGGAGTATATGTTTTAGTGACATGACAATAATTTTCCTTTCATATTTTCCTTACCTTGCCGGTTTTTTGTTTTCTTGCATTTATGTTGTGTTCATTCGTTTACTTCATATATTTGTCTAATGCTTTGCTTTGATAAAGAGGGAAGTGTGACAAAGGGAATTGAGTGTAAAATGAATAGATTTTTTAGTTAATTACGTCAACCTCTATGAAGCTTGGTCAAAATGCCAAATGATCCCCGAGACTTACGAAAATTACAATTACATCTATCGGCAAGTCAAATATTATGTAAATGACAACTAAATACGGAGTATGGTAGAAACTTATTTGTATTAGTAGGAAATGAGTGTTTCTTGACAAAATTGTTCCTTCTGTTTTATTCCAATTATTTTTTGCCTAAAAACACCGAAAGCATCGTAATCCATGTGCAGCTAAGATACAACTTTCTCTCTCACATCCCTCTTCACTACTCCTTTTCCCCACCAAAAGCCCCCCTAAACATATAAATGCTTGTAAGATCATTGGTAATGAATTGCACAAGGCAAAATGCATGCATGGTACTTTATATTACTCTGTTTTTAATAAAATCATCTCAAAGCTTTATTAGTTAACTAAAAGTATTTGATTCAAATATTTGTTAGGAGCATGTACCAGCTGGCATTGAATCTCTTACCAGTCTAGCTTCTCCTGGAACTGTTAGCACCTTAGAAAATGAAATCAGTATACACAATAGTTTTATAACTAATAGGAATGGTGGGCTTCCTGGACCTGTCCTACTTGCAAGGGAAAGGCTTCTTCAAAGGTTGAGAGGTGTTTCTCTATCTGGAAACAGGTTGGTTCCATTTGCTTTTCTGTTTATAGTTTTCCATCACGGTGTATCTTCTACAACTGTCCTACATTTCTCTTTCTTTTTGCCATTTTCTCCTCATGTGTACTGGACTACTGGGTAATCTTCTTATTTGTGTGTACATGCATGAAAATATATTGTATTAGTAGCTTAATATATCTCCAACTATGATCAAAATTCACAAATCTATCTTATTCTTTATCTTAAAAGACTTAAATTTCACTCTTTTAGTCTTTTTAACAATTATACTTCTTCACCATTTTTTTTTTCAAAATTAAAAATATAGATCAATATTAGTACTTTCTATATACCTGTATTTAATTAAATAATATTAAAAAAATATTCATTTTTAATTTTTCTTAATGATTTTAACAAAAACATAAACACATATTGAAAAAGAATCTTACAAATTAATCTGCAAATGAGTTTTTTATAATGAAATCTAAAAATAAAAAAATAAAAAAATGGTACTTATAAATTAACCAGCTGGTACAATTTTTTAATGATAAAGTTGTAAAACTAAATTAAGCATTAATACTTATTCTTTAGTTCAACTAACTTGTTATTAAGAAAACTTTGATTTCTTTCTGTACTGTGTGTTCGACACTTTTATCCACCTGTGTGACACTTTTATTTTTCTAGATGTATTTCAGATATTTTGCACCATAAGTTGATTAATTATTAGTGGTAACTCTATTAGTTTCTCTTTCTCCACACACAAAGAAATTGCAATTTTTAACTTGAAACTAGAAAGAAATGGGAAAAAGTATTGAATAAAAATAAGGATTTGTTCTTAAATATTACTATTAATCCACTGAAAGTAATGAAGTATGGTTGTAGAAGAAGATAATGTTTGACTATTTTTTTGATAAAACATAAAGAGTGATATATTTATGAATTTGATGATAGTTGGAGATCAAGTAAGTTAATTAGTAAAGAGAGAAGAAAATAATATACCTATATTCCCTTTTAATTGCAACATGTTGAATTTTACACTATCCACATGCTATATTTTGACTACATTTTATTCATTAATGTATGAAATTTTTCTTAAGATATTGTTGAGTTGTCTCAATACAAATTTTCAGTTTTTTTTTAATTTTTTCACGATCAAAGTTGTGTGTTGACAAACGTGAAAATGAGAGTGTTGCAACTAAAAAGAAACGGATAAAGTATTAGAAAACAAATACTCGTATATGCTTCCACTTTTTTTGGAAAAATTACATACATTGTAAAATTGGAAAAATTATATACCGTTGAACTATATGTGTAGAGCACTAGAGCACATACACCCTTTGACTATATATATTTATGTGTGTGCGTGTTAAAACAGATACACCCCTCAAATATTTATTTATAAGGGTATATTTATTTTAAGTTTACAAGTTTTGTGTTTAATTGTTCCAAATGAAAGTTGAGGGTATATATGTTCTCGAGCATAAAGTTTAATAGTATCGTTGTACTATTCCCCCAATTCAAATATGTTATGCTCGAGTTGTCCTTCACACTTTTATAGGTGAACACTAGGATAATGGGGGGAGTATGTGCCCTCATTGAAAAATACGTAGTAGTTCAGAATACGGTTTCACATGTAATAACTATACCCACAAGGCCACAACAATTGATCTATGTAAGCCCCCTACCCCACCACCAATTTTAGGATATATTCCCTCATTGAAAAGAAGTTCATCCTACCTTTCATACATGTCACAAAATGCCATTTCTAAAAAGAAACCACTTTTGTGTAAAGAGTATAACTTTCTTTACTTTTTGCCTAGTTTTTGTTTGATTTGGTATAAAGCAAGGATATATTTCGATAATCAAAACAAAGTTTAATCCTATATAAATGTGTGTAGGTCAAATTGGAAACGGGACAAAGAGAGTACTACTTTAACATTGTACTCCTTTTCTCTACGGAGTATATTAGCGGATGATTTTAATAATTAAAATACTAATTAAAACTTAAAAGTACATTCTGCTCCCATTGAAAAGGATGTGTGATTGATATTCTGGTACTATTTCATGTTAGGTGCAATAGTAATACGGTGTCAACAAACAGCCACAGTAGAAACTTGACAATAGAAGATGACTTCAGACTTGCCGGTGAAAGGGACCAGGTAGCAAGAACAGGCATAGCCACCGACCTCAACCAGATGGGCAAGATCAAGAAACCGCCAGGGCTGACCCAGGAGTCAATGGAATCTCTGCGAGTTGAAATTTTCAACTTGGACGACAGTGTACCGCAAGACTGTAGCATTTGTTTGGAGACTTTCTTGGATGGAGAGGAGCTGTTTCATTTGCCGTGTGGGCATAGATTCCATAATGGCTGCTTGATTCCCTGGGTCCGGACTTGTGGTGACTGCCCTTACTGTAGAACAGGTATATTAAAAAGGGGTTAATTACCTCTGCCTCCTGAGGTTTGATTAGAGACTACCAAATGACCCTCAAGGTTTTTGAACATTAAAAGTTTTATCACATTGTTAGAGAACATACTCCGTATAAATTTGATCAAACTTTGGAACAATTGAACACAAACATTATAAAGTTTGAACAAATATACCTTCCATGCCTCCACTATTTGGACAGAAGGGCATAGTTGTTCTAATTTTAGAATTTTGTGTTTCACTTTCCCAAAACAAAATTGAAGGGTATATTTGTTTTCTAACCTTATAGTTCAAGGGCATATGTGCGCATTCCCCTTAAAATACTAGTAGTAGGAATTGAGTTTTCTGGAAGAAATTAACATCAACCTCAATCTCAAGACACATAACTCTACACAACTCTTGTTAAACCCCACAAGCCAAACAGTCCCGTTGTATCTAACTCAACAGAGATGGCGAGATGTACATGGACATTTTTCTTTTCAAGTAGAGAGACTGATCCGGTGAAGATTTCCCATCTACGGACATGTAGTTGTTGTTGATACCATTGTATGCTATGGAGAACCATTTCAGGGACATTTCCGAAAATCCTGAGTGGTCAGGGGGTTATATGTGATTGTCAAAAACCTTGAGGGTCATTTGGTAATTTGATCAAACTTTGGAAGTAGGTGCAGTTAATCCACTGGAGAGGTAGTTTATAACATGGCTGACCAAACCAGAAGGTAGATGAGAACTAATGGACATCTTTGTTACAAGTTGCAACCATGTATACACTAACTCAAAGTTATTCCAACTTAGCTTGGGCGTAACAGTATATGCAAATATGCAATATTTGTAGTTAATGCAGAAATTGCAATTACTTCTTAAGTTAAAAACCTTTTATTCTTTGTTGGTTAGCACTAAGGTGATTATCTTCAAACACTTGTTGAAAATCAATATTGTATCCCTGTAATTGTCTCATTTTTTCATTTTTGGATGTACTTCTATTATTGTCACATACCATATTTGGTAATATTTGTGTTGCTCTAATTCGTTCTTGCTTTATTCATATTTTTATTAAAAATCACATCACTTCCTTCCGTTCCAATATCAGGGGAACGGAGGTAGTAGCATATTAGTTTCATATATCTGATAATAAAAAATAAGTATGAAATTCTTGTTGTAAAATGAAGAAGATGAAGACTAAATTTGAGAGATAGATATATTAATAAAAGCTCTAAATATCTTCTTCTTAATATCTGAATAATTTCTGAATTTATGAATGAATTTACAATGCCTCATCAAGCTCCTATTTATACTGTTTGAACTTGATGATTAGTCACTTAAGGGATGAATCTACAGATTTGGTGGCAATAACAATTTGAGCCATCTGTTCCAACTAGGTTACAAGGATTAAACATAATTTTTGGATTGATGACAAGGATGAACAATTCACACTTGTCATTTCCAGGATTTTACAACACTCCCCCTTGAATGTTCATCCTTGAATAGTTGTCTATTATTTTAAAAACTTATTGTGAAAATTAAGGGGTAAAAATTACGACTTATAATGTCGTTGTATTTGGATGTACTGTCTCGTTAAAAACCTTATCAGGAAAAACCCAGTGGGATAAAAACCTGATGAAGGGAAAAAGAGTGCAGTGCATTCAAATACTCCCCCTGAATTTAGTATAAATTATGAAGACGTCGCATGCCGATTTTCTGTACAAGTTCATTGAACTTCTTCGGGGGTAAAGATTTGGTGAAGAGATCGGCTGGATTTTCACTGGATCTGATTTGTTGAATGTTGATCGTCCCTTCTTTCTCGAGATCATGAGTAGAGAAGAACTTTGGTGATATGTGTTTTGTTCTGTCTCCTTTGATGTAGCCTTCTTTAATCTGAGCTATGCACGCAGTGTTGTCTTCGTAGACCACAGTAGGATGACAAGTAATAGACTTCATACCGCATTCATTTTGGATGTGTTGAATCATAGATCGTAGCCACACACATTCTCTTCCGGTTTCATATAGTGCAATTAACTTAGAATGATTTGACGATGTAGCTGTCAATGTCTGCTTCATAGATCTCCATGAGATTGCGGTGTTACCATAAGTAAATACGTACCCGGTTTGTGATTTCGCCTTTTGAGGATCTGATAAGTATCCAGCGTCTGCATATCCGATTAAAGCAGTCTTTTCATCTTTGTGGTAGAATAAGCCAAGATCAACTGTACCACGTAGATAACGGAATATGTGCTTGATCCCGTTCCAATGGCGTCTTGTTGGGCATGAACTGTACCTAGCTAATAAATTTACGGAGAATGCAATATCTGGTCTAGTATTATTAGCTAAATACATTAAAGCTCCAATAGCACTCAGATATGGTACTTCGGGACCGAGTATTTCTTCATCATCTTCTCGGGGACGGAATGGATCATCGTGTATGTTGAGAGATCGAATCACCATTGGTGAAGTCAAAGGATGAGCTTTGTCCATATCGAATCTCTTCAAAACTTTCTCGGTGTAATTGGATTGATGGATGAAAATTCCATTCTTCAAATGCTCAATTTGAAGTCCGAGACAAAATTTGGTTCTCCCTAGATCTTTCATTTCAAATTCTTTCATAAGATATTTTGCAGTATTTTCAATCTCATCGGGAGTTCCAATAATATTTAAGTCATCAACATATACTGCAATTATGGCGAATCCCGAATTTAATCACCGGATGAAAACACATGGACTAATTGGATCATTCTTATATCCTTCCTTAAGAAGGTATTCACTGAGACGATTATACCACATTCGTCCAGATTGTTTTAGTCCATACAATGACTTTTGTAGTTTAATGGAAAACATTTCTCGAGGTTTTGAGCTATAAGCTTCAGGCATTTTAAATCCTCCGGGAACTTTCATATAAATGTCTGTATCGAGTGAACCGTATAAATATGCAGTTACTACATCCATTTGGCACATTTGCAGCCTTTCAAAAACAGACATGCCAATGAGAAACCTTAATGTAGTTGCATCAACTACTGGAGAATAGGTTTCTTCATAATCAATTCCCGGCATTTGAGAAAATCCTTGGGCAACAAGTCGAGCTTTATATCTTACAATTTCATTTTTCTCATTGCGTTTACGCACAAATACCCATTTAAAACCTACTGGTTTCACGCCTTTTGGCGTAGGGACTATCGGTCCAAAAACATCACGTTTTTCAAGTGATTTCAATTCAGCCTGAATTGCTTCATTCCATTTTGGCCAATCGCGTCGTTTCCGACATTCTTCTATTGATGTTGGCTCATTGTCATTGTTTTCATTCATAACATCTGTGGCAACGGCATAGACAAATATCTCATTAATATCAATATCTTTACGATTCCATTGCATTCCAGTAGAAACGTAGTTTATTGAAATTTCATAATTATCAACGTTTCTATCATTATCTGGAATATCTTCCTCATTTAAGGAAGTTGGATCATCATTTGAGATATTTGTTTTTTTCAATATCATTTTCTATGCCAATATTTTCAAATTGTTCATTTTCTTGTTCAGAAGGATGAACATCTTTGGCATCACAGATCGATTCCTGCTTTTTAGTTTTTCTTGGTTTTATATCTTTCGATCCAAGTGGCCTGCCACGCTTTTTGCGTATAGAAGAATCGTTTGTAAAAGATTTTTCAGAATTCTCTGTTGGGATTTCGATTCTGGCAGGGGCATTTATGGCAGGAATATGTGACTTTGTCACTTTCTTTGTGTCTGTGAATGCATCAGGCAACTGATTTGCAACATTTTGTAAATGAATTATCTTTTGCACCTCTTGCTCACATATATTTGATTTTGAGTCAAGATGTGATAATCATGTTGCATTCCATGTTATTTCTTTCGTACTTGGGTCCGATTTATTAGTTTCTCCCCCTAAGGTTGGGAATACTGTCTCATTGAAATGACAGTCAGCGAACCGTGCGGTGAATAAGTCACCAGTCATCGGTTCAAGATATTTGATTATTGAGGGAGATTCAAATCCAACATAAATTCCCAACCTTCTTTGAGGACCCATTTTTGTACGATAAGGTGGAGCAATCGGAACATAAACAGCACAACCAAATATTTTAATGTGTGCTAAGTTTGGCTCTTGTCCAGTAACTAATTGCATTGGAGAATATTCATGATATGCAGTCGGTCTAAGTCGAATTAAATTTGCTGCATGTAAAATAGCATGTCCCCAAGCTGATGAAGGTAAATAACACTTCATTAATAATGGTCTAGCGATTAATTGTAATCGTTTAATCAAAGATTCAGCAAGACCATTTTGTGTATGGACATGAGCAACATGGTGCTCCACATCAATCCCAATCGACATACAATAGTCGTTAAATGATTGAGATGTAAATTCCCCTGCATTGTCAAGTCGGATTCTCTTTATAGAATGATCCGGAAAATGAGCTCTTAATCGTATGATTTGAGCAAGGAGTTTAGCAAATGCTAGATTTCTAGTCGATAACAGACCGACATGTGACCAACGTGTTGAAGCATCAATCAACACCATAAAATATCGAAATGGTCCACATGGTGGGGCTATTGGCCCACAAATATCTCCTTGAATCCTTTCTAAAAATGCAGGTGATTCAGTTGCAATTTTGTTCATAGAGGGCCTGATTATCATTTTGCCAAGAGAACAGGCCTTACAAGGAAAATCCCTTGATATTGGAACCCTTATATTCTTTAATGGGTGTCCAAGTGAAGTCTTAATGATTTTATGTATCATTACATGGCCTGGGTGACCTAAACGGTCATGCCACAACATGAATGTTTTCTGATCATCTAACTTTGTGTTAGAAATCAGATTTATTTCAAATAGACTAATATATGTGAAATATAGTCCTGAGGAATATGCTGGCATTTTTTCACAAATATATTTAGTGCCAGATTTAGTTGTTGTAAGATAAATATATTCCTTTTGGTTTTCATTCATGGTTTCTATGTGATAACCATTTTGACGCATATCTTTAAAGCTCAATAAATTTCTCCGTGATTTGCTGGAGTATAAAGCGTCATTTATAATAATTTTTGACCCGTTAGGGAGCATCACATATGCTTTCCCAGAGCCTTCAATGAGCTTCGCAACACCTGATATGGTATTGACTTTAGCCTCAACTAAAGTCATTTGAGAGAAATATATTTTATTTCTCAATATGGTGTGCGTTGTGGCGCTGTCTATCAGACATAGTTCTTTATCATTTGAGTGATCCATATCTTCAATATATATAAATAAACATAAGTTTGATCACAAATTATGCATTTTATTTAACATAAGAGTATATACATTACACATATTTATTTAAAAATAAAATAAAAAGGGGAAGAAAGAAAAAGTATATAAAACTAGTATTGTACAACATCAGGAGTCTACTATTTTATTTAGTAATATTTTGGTTTATGGCAAAAGCATCGTTCATAATGGCATCATCCGCGAAAAAGTCAGATACGTCAAATTTTGGCAGGGGTGGAGTTGTGTCATTGACATAATTAGCTTCCATATTTTTGCCTTTGTTTAAATTCATGGAAGCTTGAAATAATTCCACCAGATGTTTCGCAGTACGGCATTTATTAGCCCAGTGCCCCGTCATGCCACATTTATAACAAGTCGTCTTTACCGAGGTTTTTGGAGGGCGATTCATTTGATGCGCCTTTTGTTTGCCCTTGCCCTTGTAATTTTGTCTTTCGACCTGTTTGTATTCTCGGTGTGACTTGTTTTTATGACCATTAAAATGCCCACGTTTAAAATGCCTTCTACTGCCACTGTATGTTGCATTTGATTCAGTGGCTAAATTATGGCCAGATGGACCATAAACCGAAGGACTAGAACCAGTGGGTCTCAGATTATGATTTTTCATCAAAAGGTCATTATTTTGCTCAGCTACCAATAATACTGATATTAAGTCAGAGTATTTTTTAAAACCCTTTTCTCTATATTGTTGCTGTAGCAGCATATTAGAAATATGCATTGTAGAAAAGGT